AGTCGAGGGGTACTCTCCAAAGTCAGCTTCGTCGTCAAAACGATACAATTTGAATATATCAGTCGACCCAGGACGTGGACGACGTGAGTACGGCAGATCGGAAGAGTTTCCTAGCTATGGTCGTGATGACGGTAGGGAGATGTACCGCGACGAGAGCAGGCACATGGAGGGTGACGCTCGCGGAGGAGGCAGCTCACACAAGCGTCAGGCACATTCCAGCTACCATTACGAGTCACACGGCGGTGGTGGAGCTGGATTTGGCTCTCCTGCTCGTCGTGCCATCACACAACAGCCGATGCACGGACCAGCGCCCCCGGCAGGTCCCGGAGGCTATCGTCAAATTCGACACCATCGAGTGAAGTGCTGTTGCTTCAACTTCACCTGGCCCCCTTGGAGTTACGAGCCAACGGCTCCTCCTCAGCCACTCTATAGGAATATCTAAACATTTTTTATCCATATTCTGCTGCCCCTTATATTGCTCAACGACCGTTACTCAGAGGACCTACTTATTCATTGTATATATATACATCGCTATAATACTGTTGCCTTATTGACGTCTTCGAGGTGAGTCTAATGAGGGAAATTTCAATCGATTTACGTGTTTGGCGTAACGCCTAACAGCCACAATCACTTGACGACCTTGTTGGGTAATGATTGCGCGCTCATTCGTCTTTCATCCGTCTTCCTTTCAGCGTTGAGAAAACCGAAAATGGCGTTGGTTATTTGCGGTAAGAAGTGTGAACTATATGGGATGAGAGCAATTATTGCCCTTTGAATTTCTCTTGCGAATAAAAAACCTCTTGACATTGATATAACGCCAAATATGTATCGAGGGCTATTCGCCTTTGCAATTCTAAGAACATCTTCTTTCAGGCCTTTCTAACACTGCCAAGCTCACCCCATCTTCCACTCGGTGATGTCTCAATGAGGAATACTGTGATCACCTCACCGTCTTTGATTTCTATTAGCATTTATCATATTATCGTTACCAGTGCGACACACGTGTATCGTTTTGGAAAAGCTTATAAAAGAGTACTGTTTTTCATGAATTTATTGAGGTAAATATTATGAATATTCGCACACATGATTACCTAAAAGAATAACGATTTAAAGTTATGGCGAGACACTGGTGAAGCACATCGCATCGGTGAGTTAAATAAAAATCTCTATACGTGCTACATATTGTACAAATCAATTGAGCGATTGATGAAGATGGTTCACCTCGGAGAAACTCTGAGATTAACATTTCTTTTGAGCGTAACGATTACATTTTCTACAGACATATTCGCGAAGAAAAATGATTATATTTCGTCATGATACTTTCTCCAAAATCTTTTGATTGCACAACTCACGTGGAACGTGTTTGCTAAAAAGGGATCGGGAAATATGGAAGTTTTTGCTATGTTGAATGGTATTAGTTTGAGAAGAGAATAGAACAAAATCGACATGTTGAAGTGGAGTATGCAGTAGCCAAAGAGTTCGTTTTGTCGCTATGCACAATGCTTTGATTTCTGCGGAGATTCTAGATGTGAAAGTCACTCTCAAAAGTGATATGAGGCCTCCCGTTCGCGTCCTCGAATGCTTGTGTTGTCGTAGTCATTGAGGTAGTCGAACTGACTCAATGCATCTCTGACGTCATCTCCTGCAATTATGCTCATATGGCGATTCGGGTTAAATGACGGGTTCGTTTCATTTTCTGCCGCCACCGCTCCCTACGTAGTTACGCACGTACGCAAGAAGTTACTGCGGCAGTAATTGCCCGATTCGAATGATTCGCCTAATTAAGTTCCAGAACGGAGTGGATCTTGCGCTGCGTCGCGCTGTATCGAAACTTGCACTAATCGACTGACCTCATTAGAACAGAGGCTCAGTTTCTGAGAAGAAAAACACAAGTGAGAGGATGGCCGAACTTGAAGAAAGTCGCTATCGGTCAAAAAACTAGACATCAAAGCACTCGTCAGATTTTCAACAGAAAGTGTTCCCCACAAATTAGAATTGCTAACAACTCTTCAAAATCAAATTAAGCATGAAGCAAGCTGCAGAAAGGTTTCAATCATGAGTATATATGTGGTAAATGAAGATCCACAATACTCATCGATTCTCTCTTAGGCATTCCTGCTTCTAAAATCAGGATTGCACTAAAAACTAACCAATCACTCCATTTATGCTAGGACTGCGTACTTTTGCCCGGCTACTTGTTCTCGATTCAGTCGCATACACAGCAGCATCGGGTCGGTCATACCGACTATAAGTACAGAAGTGAAATTTGCAGATTCATAGTGAATGTTGAAATAAGATCATTGGCAACCTCAGCTTTTCATGGCGGCCATTCTCCATGTTGATTGGTATGTAAACCACTTGTCCGTTCTCAGTGTATGACCTTGAACAATGGCAATGATGCAGTACTAAGAAACTGACCCACAAGGCGGATATGAGTCACTTTTGAAACCAATTTCTCACCTTGTGTCATAGTCCGGGCGTGGACTAGGTGACATAAGTCGGGAAGCGGGAGAATGCGATCGGATGATCGGCTGAAGTCAAAAGTATAGCCTAGAAAGAACTAACAGTTGTAACTCATAAAAGACTCACTCTTGCATGAGGATCAGGTGTGACCGCTCTTTTTGGCACTACACTGGATACTACGGGTTGAGAGGGGAACAGATAGC